ATTGGGAGAAGAGGTTTGGGTGGCAAGGTATGAAAGATCTGGAATTCAGTTTTAAGCATATTAAATTTAAGGTATCATTTAGACTTTGAAATGGAGACACTGAGTAGGCAGCTGGCCATGTGACACTGGAGTTTAAGAGAGGACTGAATTTGAGATTTAAAATTGGGAGCTGTCAGTGTATAGATGGTATTTAAAGAGACTATATTACCAAGAGAATGAATGTAGATTAAAAAAAAAAAGAAGAAGAAAGAGCAAGAAATGAATGCTAGAGCACTCCAACATTAAGATATTTGGCAAGAGAGAAGAAATAAGCAAAAGAGATTAAGGAACAAATGTAAACAAAAAGAAATCAAGGCTGATAACCATATAATATTAAAGGTTATAACAAAAATCAACTTGCTTAATGATTATTATTTTTCTTTCTTTTTTTGTTAGATCTTACTTGATAGAAATATGATTATTATTTTTTAAAGCCTATTAATGATCAGAATGGTCAGATACAAAAATGACAATAACTCCCAAGTAGAGCAGCTAAAATGAAATTTTCATCTAGATACATCATTGTGAAAATATAGAATAACAAGGGCAGGGAGAAAGAACTTATTAAAAGTTGCAAGGAAGAATATACTAATGAAAACTGACTTCTCAACAGCAACAGAAGCCAGAAAAGTACTGAATGATATCTTTAAAGTTCTGATAAAAATAGTAACTGTCAGTCTGTGGCTGTATATACAGAAAAAGGTTCTTGGATGCATGTTAGCAAAATAAAAATACAAAATAAATTAACAAAGAAATAACAACAATAATAAAACAGTTTATATGAATAGTATATCTCTAAGTATTTATAAAGAATTTCCAACAGGAAAAAGTTCTCAGACAGAGAACAAAGAAAATAACAAATGTTGATAAATCTAAACAGCACTTACTAAACAAAATAATAGTCTAACTGTATAACTTCATAAAACAAAATAATAGTTTATGGAATTAAAAGAAACAAGGAAGAACTGAAATGAGGATAAATGAAGTTAAGACAGACTAAGGTTCTTGTATTATTAAGGGAGGAAAATAAGATAAGGATTAACTTTAGATTTCATTAAGGTGATTATAAATGCTAAATTTTCTAAGTTAATCACTACAGAACAGAAATAGATTATAATGTTCAAATTAGCAGATGGAGAGAAGTCAAGAAACAAGGAAAAATTGTAAAAGCAGAATTTATAA